TAATTTCTATTTTTTTTTTCTTTTTCGCTTAGTTTGAATTTAACGTAGGTCATATTTGATTGGTTGATCAGAGTAAAGGCCTCATGTCTTTATTTTTTTATTTTTATAACTTTTTTTCATAAAATGAGGATGTATGTTTTGAAACACGACTGCAATTGTGTAGCGATCCTTACATATGTTTGTTGTAATATCATTATATATATATATATATATATATATATATATATATATATATATATATATGGATAACTGTGACCAGATATTGACTTCGTCCAACCATTCTTTATAAATCAGCTAATAAAGTTTATGTTCAATGGTTCAATATATCCATAGAATAGAATCTCTACTCAGTGATTTGAACATTACTCTGTACATGTTTTCTGCTATCATCTCCAAACTAGCTCCCCAAAAGTAATGTGGATTTGATGGTATCCCTGCAATTGTCCTAAGGTATTGTGCTCTTGAACTGGCTCCTGTTTTCTCCAAACTAACACACACATTCTTGCTTTCCAGCTTGTTGGAAATCCCATTCTGTAGATTTTGTCTTTAAAAAAATCGAGGGACCCTTCTAATCCCTCTAATTATCATCCAATTAGTCTTTTACTTCTTTTTGGTAAAGAACTAGACACTCTTTAATCAACTCTTGATTGGTTAAACATCCCAATTCTTTTGCATAAACAATATGGCTTTTGTTTCTCTAGGTCAACTGCCAATGTGTTAATGATTACTGAACTTGTCTTGTCAGGGGTTAGATAAGAAAGACCAGGCTTAGATTGTGGCTCTAAATATCTCAAAGGCAGTTGACAGTGTTTGTCATTCTGGCTTTCTCAAGGGCTATGGGTATCTGTGACCAGATATTGACTTCGTCCAATCATTCTTTATAAATCAGCTAATAAAGTTTATGTTCAATGTTAAGACAGGAGTAAATAGTTGTGCCGTCAACATAAATACCGAGTTGAGAACGGATGCCATCAGGAAGGTCATTGATGAAAATTAAGAATAACGTAGGTTCATGTCTATTGGAGACACCGGCGTTAATGCAAAAAAGTTCTAGAAAAGTAACCCATTTAACACTAAGATGCCCAGCTCCTTTGACATCTTTATTTACATTACGCCGTGAAGCAGCCATCATACTTATTATAAAACCCGGGTTGTGTGTGTGTGTGTGTGTTCGTTTATATATTGGATCGGATTTCCTACATTTTTCAACCAATTTCAACAAAACTTCACAGGACTACGTAAAATTACCTTGCGGTGGTTCTGACAGCGCCAAAAATTGGAAAAACACAATTGTTTTTACACGAAATCAATTTGAAAACACGATTAAGAGGCATCGCTGTCGCGAGAATGAAAGGGGGACAACTCATATAGAGTTATACTTATTATAAAACCAAGGTTATGTGTGTGTGTGTGTGTTCGTTTATATATGGGATCGGATTTCCTACATTTTTCAACCGATTCCAACAAAACTTAACTTTTTTTTGGCAGGTAGTTTTTCTTATTGTCTTGCACACATTTTTCTTTGTTTTTACATTCAGAATGCTTTAAAAATTCCATTTACAAGACAATTGTTTATAATAAAATTCTATTCAATCGGTAGACTCATAACCATTGAAAACAAAAAAAAAAAAAACTAATTAAGACATGCGTGTCCGTCAACCTTAAACAATAATCTTTGTCGATTTTATTTTTCAGTCTTTAAGATGGTCAATACTTGATCTATCTCTTACTGTTATATCCCTGGGCAACGGCGGCTCTACTGCTAGTCGTTAATATATTCAATATTCAAGTCAGTAATAACAAGTTTGAAAAGAAATTCACAAATATTAGTATACCTCATACTAAAAGAAAGTGATTATATATATATATATATATATATATATATATATATATATAAATTATATATATATATATATTATTGTGTGTGTATAGATAGATAGATAAATAGATAGATAGGGGACATAAACACAAGTATTATTGCTTGTGAGAAATTTTTCAATGCATTTACCCTATAAATAGCCTAGGTGTCAAAAACAACACCTCAGCCATTCAAGGTAAAACCTCAAATATCAGCTATTCCACTGAATATTTTTTAAAGAATTAAGTCTGTTAAGCATCTTTGCTAAAATTCAGTAATTGTCCATAAGCCTCAGCATCGAACCAAAACTAGTTATTCCATAGTAATTTGTTGAAAATTTGAATGTGTCGAAAACGACACCTCGGCCATCCTAATGTTAACACCAGATTGTAGGCTTCTTTTTTTTTTTTGATCAGCGGAAAAATTGATGAAAATTACTACAGATATTAAAATTTCCGCATCTTGTTGATTTTAACGTCCCTATCGGTCTTTTCTGCTGAGGAGGCGACTGCAGACTCGGCTCTATGTATTCAACGATGATGACGCGACATCGTTGGATGGAAGGCTTTCTAAGACTCAAATCAACGATCTCCTACTCCGATGGAAACAACGGGCGTGGCCAAGGTGAGCCTTCGAGTTGGAGGATATCGATTGTGTTTAGATCTGGAGAGGGATGTGCTCCGCCAGGTATACTTGCCCAAGACATGCTATGCACGAATAAATACTGCCTCGGCTTTCTACCAAGTTATCTAGAGAGAACCAACAGGTGCTCAGCTGCGCAGAGATCCTACGACTTAACCCGGTCACGTGAACAATGAAGATGATGATGTGTAACTCGCAACTTAGGCTGTCCTTTTCGCTGACGACCATGCCTTCTGTCTTATTAAAGTTAATCATTTCACCCCAAGAAAGGCAATAAAGCTACGAAGACACAAGTGGTTGCTGGGAATGAAAGACAATGAGAAAACTTTAGTGAGGAGAAAGGGTAAGAAAAGAATGTGTCAGGGAGACAGAAAATGGCAGCTGAAGTTACATTTAAAGTTTTCAAGATCGTAGTTGACAGGGAAGAAGGAAGCCGAAAAATAGTTCCACAGCCAAGAGGTGCGAGAGAAGAAACTATTAGAATAGAACTTACGTTACATCTAGTTATTTCACCTGTAAAATGATGAGACCTAGCAGTCAGCCTATTATTACGCATAAATTTGTAGTAAAAAAGAAGGAAGCTCATCAGAACAATTATATTTATAAAAAAGGCACAGGAAAGCTAGGTTACGGCGGTGGGAAAGTGATAAAACCCAAGATGCCAGGTCAGGACAGATAATAAATAAGTTCTGGTAGTAATTCCATTCCTGTTGCATTCAAATGATTATATTAAGTGTGGAGATGCGAATTTGACGTAATGATTAACAGCAGTGAAAATGGATTTGAAAAATTTGAGTTCGAATTCAGGATAAGTGTTCACTAACCACCTTGAGAAAGGCACGAATTCATCACTCCGGTCATATCAGTATGGTATAATGATTTGCGGATTGGAAAAAGAAATAAGCGATCCGAGTTCGAATTCAGGTCGGGTTCGTTACGTTACTGATAAGAAAGGTGTAACTTTTCTAACCCGCATATGTAAGGAAGATTAGGTTCTCTAGAATTACAGGGAACAATTGGATCAATTGTAGTCATTTAATATTTTTAAGTTCGCGCATGCGCGTTATCCGTTTTTGATTTTGTCGGCTGCACAATATAGTAGAGCCAGTTGGGCACCATCTGTGAGAAAAAGAACACCATGACGCAATTCACTCCACCAGAAATTTGGAAACAGCACGCTGTACTGATTGACATTCACGTCGGAAGCGCCAATACGAACATTTCAGTGTGTTTGTGTGTCAGTCTGACGACAATGCCGAGGATTCGGAAAAAGTTGGATGAGTCTAATGGTGATTACGAAGGTGTTTGTAGTGATCACAACTGATAGCGACGTTATACCTCCATTTTTCTTCCTACAGTGCCTCAGACTCAACACGGAGGACGACACCAAGTGCCTTGAGAAGTTAGTACTGTCCTGGGTCAAGAGGGTGGCTGCTGGGAGACCATATGTCTGGCAACAGAACTCTCCATCATACCAGTTGGACGAGAGATGAACAAAACTCCTTGTAACATCAAAAATGCGCTGAAAGCAAGTGTTATGGTCCAGAAGAGTTGCAAGAGATTCCGAAGTCATCTGGAGGCTGTGGTTGAAGCCAATGGCGATGTTATTGAATACATTTACTCTTTAGTATTTCAATATATTTTTGTATAATTTTAGTAAAACTATCTGTTAAAATGAAGTGTCAGTGTTAGATTCATTTAGGCGACAATTTATCCATCGCAGTTTGTATTTGGTAAAAACGTTTAGAGATTTTAACCCGATAAAAACAGCTAATCCTCAGCTATATATCGGACAAGGACTGAAAGTCCCGTGAAACGCGCAATCTGCCGATGTTGGAGATATCCCGGATTACACAACGTTGCTCATTGCTACTCTCTCAAATCTTGGAGAATAGACAGACATCGACCGGATTAATGGATTAATTGATTGATTGGTTGATTGGTTGATTTTACGGCTTATCAAACCATTGCAGGTTATTTGGAACAATTTCTTCTTTTTTTGAATGGGGGTAATAATGATTTAGTGATACATGTCTTACTAATTAACCCATAGCTGGGGGAAAGACAGGGTGGCTTCATACCTTTCGCAATAGTATTTGCGCGTAAGTGAGTATACACATTAATTTTCAACTTTTTAGTACCCAATTATTTTAGTATCCAACAGGAATTGGAACTCGGTTCTCCGATTAAAAATTTTGGTTTATTATTCATTACACCAACCGCACATTCGAGGTTAAAGCATCTGGTATTCCAAAAGGGTAACCAATCTAAATACTGTCTCGAAGTTGCTTAACTTCGAGGATCGTACGGGAACTTGTGTTTCAATATATGGCGTTAAGCCGATATGTTTTAATGATAATACTTAAACACACAATTAACAGAAAAGCATTCAAATCTACTTGCCTTTTTGATTTTAACCCTGCTATCATTGCATGATGTAACAATTTTTTTCCTTGTCATTTTCTATTTACTTATGACTAGAAGTTATATCCAAACTTGAAGCAACTTGTATTCCCAAGAGGTTCCCCATCTAGCTACTGACTAGGCTCTACGTTGCTCAACTACAGTGATCGTACGGAAACCAGTGTTTCAACGTGAGGCAGCAGCATCCAAGACCCCAACAACCAGAGAAAGGCTATGAAAGACGCAGTATTATACCCAGGCAGTCGACTAGAAAAATGCATAAATTGGCTTTGAAGTGGCGAACAACAGCAAAGGGGGTTTATAAAATAACGTTATTTGTTGTTAGCAAGACAGTTTTTTTTTGGTTGGTTTGTTTTACCGCATATCAACCTCAATGGATTATTTAATGCCGACAATTTTTATTGCTGGTAATATTTTTTCTTCAAAAAAATCTATTTCTGATATTTTTTTCAAAAATGTATTGCTGGTAATTTTTTTCCTAGTATGTTTTGCCGATAATAATGTATTGCTGGTAGTATATTTTTTTTACAAAGTATTTCTGGTATTAAGACCTATTTTTACACTTTCATAGTGTTTTGACCCCAGCTTGGGTGTTAACTATTTGCCCATAGCTGGGACCCTAACAGGTACTACCAACCCGGGTTAGGGTGAACCTGGGAACACCAGCAATTAAGAGGTGGTTCCACGCTCCTCAAAACCTTTTGATCAGAGGCCTTGCTGTTGGGCGTAGTTTATCATCTTACCCAGGACGCAGATGTAGTTTATCGTCATATCCAGGACGGTAACAGAATGTGAGGTTTATGAAATACCGTTCTTTGTTGTGAGCAAGACAGTTCTTTCGCCGTTTGATATAAAATGAAAAATATATATTGTTGCAATGTTGTCTTTGTTCAGAACAGCTGAGAATTAGGAAGGCCGTACTTAATGAAAGTAACGAAGGGTCAGAAGATTAGGCAAAGAAAACAAAAAAAAAGAGGTTTATTAAATCTTCATGGAAACTTGAGTAAATCAACTACTCCTCGAATAATATTTTTCCGTAACGAATCACAAAAAAAAAATGTGGCACAAGACAAAAATTGAGATTTTTTTAAGCGTTTCACCCCAAGCAAGGCAGGAAGCCACTAGGACGCAAGGAGTTACAGAATATTTGAAGCAAGATCAGATAGGAGTGATAGAGGAAAGGATGAGGAGAAGGATAGTTGATTACTCGTCAGTCTGTTTGACTATCGTAACACATTTATTTTTGTCCTAATCATTCTAAACTAACTTATAATCCTATTTGATGGTTTAGTTAGAAATCCCGGTTCGAAAGAAATCAAAAAAAAGGAAAATTGAATTTCTTTGGCTAGATGCGAAAGTGTCTCGTCAGTATTCTCATGATCTAGTTGGGCGAATTTTTTTGCTAGGTAAAATGTCCGAACATGGAATTGTTTTCGCCATTTCTTTCTCCTGTTGTTCTTAATTTTATTGAAAGCATATCTCCCAAGCCCACTATTTGGTGAGGGCGGAGGATTGGCCGTTGACCCCCCACCACCAGCTCTGCGTTTCGTTGAAACTTGATGCTTGGACTTAAGCCGTGCATTCACTGGTTATCATGAGAAAGAAAGCAGACAATAGGGAGAATGGTTTTCAATCTGTCATATAATTAAACTTAGATAGCCACAATACTGACCCAAATATACAATAGTAATTCTTACACCAAAACAACACAATCTTACTTAACATTCTTACTACAGACACCATAATACCTCAGGTCTCTATGAAGTTCTAACTAGTTACCATATGTACAATTTGCCTGTAGTGGAGATAAAATAACTTTAAAAATGAAACACCAGTGAATATTTACAATATGCGTAATACTATATAAAAGAAACTAAACAAAATGGAGTTAGTTATTAAAAAAAATCACAATCCTTAATTGTGGTGGAAAAATCAGTTAATTGAACGAAATGAAAACGGGATTTTCAACTTCTCAAATCCTCTATCATGGCTGCTTGCTATATTTATCTGTAGGAGCAGTCCATTGCCAGAGCAATAGGGAAGAGCAGGAAGTAAGCTTAGTACTAGTCTACATCAGATATTTTGTTTAATTTATGTTTTCTTCATAAAAAATATGTATTCACTTAAAAGTAAGCGCAAATAAAGTTTTATTAAATTTTGGAGAGAAAAAAAAATGAATGTTTCTGAAAACGCTATTTAGAAAATAATTGATTGGGTTTATTTTGCGCTTTTTTACGGCAATTTTACTTCGAACTGGAAAGAGCAACTGAAGTATCTGTCTATCGAAAAAAATTTCTTTTTATAGGATGCAAAAAAAAAAAAAAAAAAAAAAAGGGAAGAACTTTAATGAATATAAAATGAAAGAGAGAAACAAAGAAATAAAGAAAGGAGGAGTTTGAAAGAAAGAAAATAAATGAAGAAGGAATGTTAAAAAGAAAGAAACGTGAGAAATAAACAAAGAGGAAAACGAAAATATCAAAGAAAGCGATAAAGAAAAAAAAGAAAGAATAAATGAATAAATAATGGGAAAAGAAAAAAACATAGAAATAGTGAGAAAGAAAGAAAGAAAGAAAAAAAACGAGAGTACATTTTTCAAAAAAAGAATGAAAACAAGTGAAAAAAAATTAAATTAAGATATCAAACGAAGCTAGAAAGAAAAGAAAGAAAGAAGAGTAAAATAACTAAGAAAGAAAAAAGCAAAAATTATAAAATAAAACAATAAATCTGAAAGAAAGAAAGAAAGAATCGTTAAACGGAACGAAAATAAAAGAAAGTTTAATGTTAAAAAAAAAAGGAGAAAGAAAAAAAAATGAAGAAAGCAAAGATATCAAAGGAGGGCACGGAGAAAGAAAAAAATGAAGAAAGCAAAGATATCAAAGGAGGGCACGGAGAAAGAAAAAAAAAGAAAAAGGAGGGCAAAAGAAAAATATCAAAGGAGGGCAGGAGAAAGAAAAAATGAAGAAAGCAAAGATATCAAAGGAGGGCAGGGAGAAAGAAAAAATGAAGAAAGCAAAGATATCAAAGGAGGGCACGGAGAAAGAAAAAAATGAAGAAAGCAAAGATATCAAAGGAGGGCACGGAGAAAGAAAAAAATGAAGAAAGCAAAGATATCAAAGGAGGACACGGAGAAAGAAAAAAATGAAGAAAGCAAAGATATCAAAGGAGGGCACGGAGAAAGAAAAAAATGAAGAAAGCAAAGATATCAAAGGAGGGCACGGAGAAAGAAAAAAATGAAGAAAGCAAAGATATCAAAGGAGGGAACGGAAAAAGAAAGAAAGAAAGACTTGATAAAAGAAAATGGAAAATGAGATAAGATAAGTAAAAAGTATGACAAAGAAAGCAAAAGAAAAAGTAAAGATAAAGTAAAAGAAAAAAAGAAAAAAAATTAATTAAAAAAAGAAACGAAAATATTGCAAAAAAAAAATGAAAGGAAAAAAAGTCGACTTCTTACTCCCAAATACGTTCCATTATGAATTAATTCAAAATAATAGAAAATTCTGAGATTCAAAATTTGATTGAAATTTTTTTCTGAATGTTCCAAATATGACATCAAAGTTCAATTGGAACGCACATTTGCCACTACCTCTACCCACTGACGCAGGTACGCAATAATTGGAGAATAAAAGACGTGAAATTATATACGTATGTCAAAAGAACAAATTAATGGAATTCAATATTCCTATTTACAGAGGTGTTTACAATTATGCGGGCGGAGTTCGATTTCTCGCTCGAATATCTTCATTTTGCACACAAAACATACGAAAAGAAAGTAGTGATTTATCACTGGTCATATTTAGAATGATCAAGGCCATTATACCGCATACCGGCTCTGACATAATGATCATATTGTTCCGGGAAAGTTTTAACTATCCTGAAAATCAGCTTTTGCAATCCATTTTTGTTATCTGAATTCGAACATCAAATATCGACGCTGCTGAGTTATATGTAATTGTGTGTATTTACTAAATCTGGCCTAGTACGACACAAGCCATGAAGAAAATAAAGATGGAGAGATTTTAATGCGTTAATCTTACAGGAAGATAGGAGTTGCCTGTTTGTCTTGAAAACCATAAATGTAAATCATGGCCTCTTACATGGACTCAAAACTATTGGAAAATATGTAACTATTTTAGTCACAAAGCAAGTTTCTTTTATGTATTTTCTAAACTTATCTATCACTTGCAAAAGACCTACAATGGACCAGTGGGGATCGAAGTCACTACAGTAGTAATAATATTTACTGATTAAATTTACTGAGTTAATTTGATTGATTTGTGTTTTACAGCTTATCGATCTTTTTTGATGTTGTGCAAGTCGAAACATTTTTGGATTGGAAGAATTTGGGGGAGTACAATAATGATTTTCTTATAAAAGACTTACTATTTAACCCATAGCAGGAAGAAAAACGGGTGAATTTGTACATTTGTCCGACCTTAGTTAAGGTCACAAATGCGGGTAATTCAATGATGAGATTTAATACTTTTACGATGGTCTACAAAATTAGCTATTTAGCGAGTCATTTTTAAGGCCATATCGTTGCGGGATATCAACGATCATATCTTGACAGATTCCTTTTCGTTGTCTGGCTTCATGGGAGACACAGTGGAATGGTTTCTTTTTGTCTCCTCTATGGTTTTGAATTCCGATTTTCCATCCTCCTTCAGAATATAAATGATCATGGCTCTTCACAGATTCCTTTTCTGTATTATCTGTGAATTACCATGGCTTTCTGGAAATGGTAAGGGTGATGGTGTCCCGTTGCCTTCTCCGCGGACGGAATTCAGAGTTTGACCTGTGTTAGAGCGGACGCTCTGTGATTTAACTCCTGCGAGGAGAATAGATGTAATCATGCCTTCCTCTAGGGCATTAATGCGAAGTAAAAAGCAATAGACTAGACCTGAACTTGAACACGGTTCTTCTTTTCCAATTTCCACGCCGATAACCGTTACTCCCCGCTTCTACAATTAATTCATACATATATGGTCACCTGAACAAAATCTCACCCGACTGACAATCAGTTTCTTTTGGACTAACCAAACTTTGACTTTCTATTCTTCGAATTAATCGAACTTGTCTGCGAACTTATAGAGAAGTCAGGGTGCAGTCCTTTCTGATGGCAGTGCAGAAAAGACCAGTTCTTTTAAAAATGAAGAACACCTCCTTGCACGACC